GCTCTGAACACGTTCTGTTTCTTTAAGAAGTAGAGAACAGTGATCATCAACAGACTGTCCATGAACTCTCTCTCTCTCTCTCTCTCTATATATATATATATATAGAGAGAGAGAGAGATAGATATATACTGATTTAGTTATCAATTTTAAAGAAAAATAATATTTAACATTTTCAACATAATTTAATACATAGAAATGACAGGCATTAATTTAAAGAACCAAATGTGTTTTTTTTTTCCAAAAGATAAATTATTTAAAAGCAAATTGATCCCTTCCATTATGTAAATGTTCCCTATAGGGTATTTTCTAGTATAATGCAAAAATGTGATTCGTCTTTTTAAACGAACCTATCATTACATTAAAGAAGAATCAGTTGTTTGTTTTATTTGCACCTATTTATTTGGGTTTTAGGAAATACACAGCATTAATTAAATACAAATGTTTCTACCAGAAATACTCTGTAATTTATTTATATAAACTGAAAGAAACATTTTTTTTATTATTTTTAAACTTACCTTAATTGCATACATCTAATGATATGTAAATATATAATATGTCAGGAAACTTTTTCTGTTAGATAGGACTCTAAAATATGCTGTTAGTTCAGTTCGGATGTTTTTCTCTCTTTGTCTTTTGTTGGTCTTCCGTCGGTCTCCTTATTTGGGCAAAGAAACCAGTTCTGACCGGTTCTGTGTCCCGTCTCTATCTCTAAGTGTAACAGTCGGTACCATTGAGTGCTGTCCATATCATCCTGTTATGTAAACTATCAGCATGCACACCTGTCTTCACCACTTTCCCTTTTAGTACAGCACAATAACAGCATTCAATAACTGTATAAATTGATACGGAAACTTAATACAATGAATATATTGTAAAGATTGAATACGACAATATATAAATCCATTTAAGGATTAGAAATTGTCAATGCATGTCATTGATCATTTTCGGCTGATAACAAAGTATTTACATTTTTTAAATGATAAAATAATAATAAAGTTGAATATGAGAAGGAAGCTCGAACTCTCCGTCTATTCACCAGGTTATCTGGACACCAAACCTCATCTAATGGTGTCTCATTCTAATACTTTTTATTCAGTGCTATACAGAGGGTAAGGGTGTGTGTTGCATTAAGGCAATGGTTCTCTTCACCCTAAAGAACCGGCGTAATTTCAGCCAGTGGCGTAGGGGACCTGTCAACTTTTCACTTTTCTTATATTTGAAAGTATCTATAACACTAAGTTGTCCAAATACTTGTTTAGGAAGATTGGTAGCAACAGTAGAAGTAGTGACACATTCTCTTGATATGTATTTTTGTAAATTCCCAAACTGAGACAATTCCCACAACCCACCCACAAAGTTTCCGACCACAAGCACAAACAGACATATTGCGTTTCTTTCTCGCTGACTGAGGATGACAAAGGACAATGGTTCAGTTTGAAGAAGGGAACAGGAGCTGGTAGCATTTGAGTTATATTTGGCACATGTTGTTGTTGAGTGTGTGTAATGTGTCAAAGTCACTGGGGAAACCCCCACTCTTGGCTGAGTTTTCTATTGGCTCTGATAACGGACATTACCAAACCAGGGAATTCCCCTTGTCTGGCACAGTCTAACAAGAGAAGTATTTGCTGGTTGTTCTATAAACATAAAGTAGAATTTGGTTTTTCGAATTTAAAAAAACAAATTGTATTGACCTTTTTTTATTTTTAGTTTGACTGTGAGGCTGTAGATGTGAAATGTTTGGGTTAGGTATCGTCGAAAAACCAGATCAAATAAATAGTTGTGTTAGCTTGTTTATGTATGTAGCTTGTTTACGAAGATCCATCCTTCCATTTTCTACCATACTGTACCAGGCATGAGCAAACTAAGGCCCAGGGGCCGGATGCGGCCCGTTCAACTTTTTAACGCGGCCCACCAAACTAACAGCATTTTAGCATTTTAGTCTTTAGGACAATTGTGGCCCACGAGTCAAAAAGTTTGCCCACGCCCGCCAGGGATCGGACACGTAACCAGTGATTTTCTTGCTGCAACGACTTACTACATAATAAAACAAACCACCAATAAAAAAAAAAAAAAAAAACTGTAAAAAAAAGAGAAATAAAAACAGTTTTGAAAATGATTGCAAATTTTTTTCGCATAGTACGTCTCAAATCCACGAACCTTGTAAATAAAATTGAATAACGTACTGTATGCATCTCCAGAGCTATGCCCATGTTTGGTCATAGTCAAATGCGGTAACAGTCCATGGGACTTCTGTTATCTCATCTGGAATGGAAATCATTTTTACACCATACAGTGTTAATGATGAATCCTAATGAAGTAATGCTTTAATTCAACCAACCAAGAATGATGATTTCAAAGAGCAAATACCCCAAAGAAAGTCTTGCCCTCCTCAGTCTCAAGCTCTAACAGCTGGTTAGTTTCCGTCCATAGTTTGTCTCCTTTATTCAGATGGAACACGGCACCCAGATAAATAGCGTGATACCAGCCCTGTAAGTCCACGTAATGGTCCCCCTGAGCAGTGCTCGGGCAAGCTGATCGAATCGCGCACATTATTGAGATTCTGACGCCAATGGAGTCGGAGTAGCGCCAAACCCTATGACTGAGAGGCGTGACAACTTCTTCTTCCGCTGCTCCCAAGTAGTGGCCGTCGATGCACAAGACTCTAATAGATGCCTGGCTGTAGACAAAGTAGAGACCATTTTGGGGTATGACTATCTGATTGTTCACCAGCTTGAAGCCTCCCTGAGCAAATGCCTGGCCTTGGCCATTCTTCCACTGGAACGTGGCTCTTGTGCTCTCATTGTCATTCTCATAGCTCCCTTTAAGAAAAGAGAAAAAAAAAAAGAACAATTCTTACAATCTTAGGAATCGGGAAACACAATTATGAAATAGTCATTTTCATCCGACAAAGTGGTCATGAATTATTCTTTGGTGTACAACAGATGCACTTGGGGAGGGGGGGGGGGGGGGGGCGCAATGGCATTGCAGGGGGTGTCGATGGAATGAGTGAACGAAACGTGACGAAGCATATTGATCAATGATGTAGAGGTCTGACAAGAGACTGGCAACTGACCAAAGTTGCCAATGCTAGCATGAAATGGACACGTTTTGGACAGAACTCCAATGTAAACGCAAAGCGATTTTTTTTTTTTTGTTGTTGTTGTTTTGTTTTTGTTTTTTTTTTTACAACTATGACTCACCTTCCAAATGGATGGCCGCTTGGGTTTTGCTGCTGAACTGTTGCAGTGCGTAGTGGAGCTCTACGAGGAGGATGAAAAAGAATTATGGGATTGGAAAAAGCACGCTTTAACGGCACTATTAACAGCAATATTTGGAAATCCATATATTAACCTTTTTTCTCCGCAGAGTCCTCGTTTAAGTGGCTGGGCTTGAATAGCAGAAGGGGGGATGTGGGGGAGGGACAAACACGTTCTGTTATTTGCTTTAAATATATATTTCATTTCAATTATTGGCGAGATCTTACCTGCATTTCGGACCTTTTCCTGTGCCAGGGAAAAATAAGGATGCCTCCTAAAGCAAGGGCGAGAAGGAAAAACGCTCCCAATATTTTCCATGTCCATTTTGAAGAAGATTTCTCTTTTACCATCACAATCTCCTCATGACTGCTCTCCATATCACCTTCTGGTACAATGTATTCCACCATGCTGGCACAGGTCCTGCACAACCAGGATACTGATAGTTGCTGATGACAAATGTCCTGGCTGAAAAGGTGTGTTTGAGAGTCAGCCCTGTGTCTGTATCTTCAAATGCTGTGTAGTTGAAAATCTGTCTTTGAGCAGGTTTTGGGCATAGTGTGTTTGTGCCTAAAAAAAAAAAATAATAAAAAAAAATAACCAGAAGTATTTATACTGTGGTAGTTACACAGACCATAGGGGGAAATTCCAGTGATGTCACTCTGTAAGTGGAGACTGTGAGTGGCTACGCACAAGTTGTTTCTCTGCTTGTGATGGTTTGGGTTTATTTATAGAGCACTTTTCAAACATTGAATGTAGCCTGACGTAGAGATAAATGGTTAAAAGAAGTAAGTAAAGTAATAATAAATGTTACACTAAAAGTAAAACATGATTTTTCATGTAAACTGTTGTTCTAAGGATGTTCACAGAAGACATACATCCGTACATGCCACTGTGATTTTTACTAGTGATGTTCGATACCACCAATTTCCTTTCCGATCCAATACCGAGTAAAATTCGGGCTGGTATCGCCGATACCGATATCGATACCGATATTTTATCATTTGTCTTTTAAATTAAAAAAAAAAGTGTATTTCAAATCATAGCTTCTTTAAGAATCCAAGGCAGAGTTTTTGATCTTGTGTATTTTTACTGTAAACAGTTTATGGTAGTAGTAGAATTATATTATAATAGTACTACTAGTATTTTTTTACCTGAGTGCTGCTTTTATTTTTATTCGCTGCCTCATTTACTATACAGTCAACACAACAATAGAAAACCTTGAGAACACAATCATATAAAATATGTCAAAACAATGTTTCAAACTCTGAAAACATGTTATTTGTAAAACAAAAATAAATAAAAAAATAAAATAAATAATCTGAGGAGCCATTTGGGACCCGAAAGAGTCGGATTTTTTCAGTGAACCGAGCCAAAAGAACCGGTTCTCCAAAAAAGAGCCGAAATTCCCATCAATAGTGACTGAGTGAGAGCACGGAGTAGAGCCCCTGTGCTTAAGCATGACGCACACACCCAGGCGGAAGAAGAAGTAGTCCCACCAACCGAGCGTCACTTAGACAACATCTCAATAATTTGGATACTTTTCACCATGTTTCTGTTTAGGATACACCTCATCTCAGAATGCGTAAGTATCAAAAGTATCGATATTTTGATTTCAGAATCGATTTCAGAGCATAAAGATCCAGAATCGGAAGTATCGATATTTCAGGATCGATCCGCACATCACTAATTTTTACATTAACACGCTGCATTATTTAGGTGTTAACAAATACCGTATGATATACATTATCTGGCCAACTTTCAACGTCCGCCCGCTTCCATTCAGCTTTATTGACTCCGTATGGGTCTTTTCCCTCGATTATTTTCAACTTGCCCAGGTGTTTTGCCATTGTAATTATGTCTAGTGAATCTCTATACAACAATTTTGTCTGATTTTTGTCCTCCATTCATTTTAATATTCTTGTCTTTTGTTGTCATTATCCATGCTTAATTATTTTTATTTTCATTTATCATAACTACCTCTTTATTTTTTTTGCTTTCTCATAAAGGTATATTCTGCTTGTTCCTGTTGTTGTGTGAAATTGGTTTGGAAAGAGGGGGGAAAAATGGGGTATTAAGGGAGGAGGGCGAACAAACAACCGGTGGATAAGGGAGTATGTGCAATAACCCTGCAGTAATTCTTCTTGTATTTCTATTTTATATTTTAAGTATATGTTTATGTATATGTGTATTAATATATATTCTATATAATATTATATCATGTATGTATAGTAACTCCTAGTAATAACATGGAGGTGGGCATATGTACAGTACATGTATATATATATATATATATATATATACATATGTATAACTAATATACTGTGTACAAATATATTATTAATATATATTCTATATAATATTATATCATGTATGTATAGTAACTCCTAGTAATAATGGTTGTATAAATCTGGTCATAAAACACATCATATACTAATACATCTGCTGGAACTGCCTATATAGCTAACCGTCTAATTCAAGCATGGGAAAACTACGGCCCCCGGGCCCTCTACCGCCCGCGCGCCATATACTCGTCCCAGTTATATTATTAAATTAAATGTTATTATGACACCTCAATCATTTTACCTAGCTGTAATTCCCATCTTTCCCCAGCAGATTTTGCCAAAGATATTGACCATTGAGTGTGATGCATTACGGTTATGCATAATCTTCTGTGAGGATGGCACAGAAGATGCTGACGTTGTTTTGCTCAACCTACAGTATGTGTGTGAACAGACATTCAGTGTCATGAACATCAACAAAGCCCGTCACAGATCCAAGTTAACTGACCAACACCTCGGATCTATCTTGAGAATTGCCACAACAAATATAACAGCAGACATTGATGAAACTGAAACTGAATGTTAGTTTATTACTGCGTTATTAAATTAATACATTTGGAATTTATTTTCACAATAAACTCTTCACATTGGTGTTTTGCTTCCTGTTTTTATATTTCATTTATATTAGTCCACACAAACACACCATTCTCCTATTCTGGCCCGGCCCCCCTGAAAATTTTTTAGAAATCATTGTGGCCCGCAAGTCAAAAAGTTTGCCCACCCCTGGTCTAATTAAATAATTTAACTTCTCAACTATTTATACTGTTCATATATTTATCTATATATGTATATATATGTTTACAAACATATATATAAACACATATATGTCATACTAATTTAATTAAGAATATAATAGTAAATTATAATAGTATAATAAAAAAAATTAAATAGAAGAATGGAAATTGAAATTACAATCAACAACACCACACAGTCAACAATAATTCCCTACTAATCCACTAAACTACTACCACTATTTATCTATATCTCTACTTCTACTATCTGACTAAGCTACTAATCTACTAACATCCACTGTTGACGTCTCCCATATTTAGTGACAGCGTGCTGCTACTCGTGTTTGTATTGCCATGCCATCCATTGCTATGGGTCTGAGGGCCGGGAGGGTGGAGGGTATGAACGAAAATAATTAAGATTGTATAAAGAAATGGCCGATGTCAGAACAAACAATGAAACTGAAATACAGCTTCACCTGATCAGACCATCACCAATCAGACGGCTTTCTGGCATGCACAGACCAGATCATACTTCAGGGGAGTTCGGACCACAGATCAACTCTAATGATGTCCTACATAGATGTCTCAAAAAAAAAAAAAGGAAAGTGAACTCCTTGTTATTGTGACATTGTGATACACACACCTCTGCACACAACGAAATGTGACCTCTGCATTTAACCCATCACCAAAGTGAACAGTGGGCAGCTTTAAGCTGCAGTCCGCTTCCTTAGCCACTAACCCATCACTGCCCCAATGTTTAATGTGTATGTGAAATAATAATAATAATAATAATAACAATAATAATAATAATAATAATAATAATAACAATAACAATAATAACAATAACAATAATAACAATAACAATAATAACAATAACAATAATAATAATAATAACAATAACAATAATAACAATAACAATAATAATAATAATAATAATCTATCTATTTATCCATATATCTATCTACCTAAGCTAACATTAGCTCCGGGCCTATAAATCCTTGAATTCGCCACATCATTTTTTTAAGGCGCAGAGTTCGAAAGCGTGTGAAAAAAGTAGCGGCTTAGTCCGGAAATTATGGTACACTTTTGTAGACATATTTAACGTTCATGAAACAATAATTACGCTTTGATTAAAGCGGGAAAAGTGCTTGAATTCAAAAGTGTATGCCCACTGTGTTGTGTTCAGTGGTCTCACTGTATCAGATTGCGCTACTGGGTTTCAAAATTAAGGACTCTTAAATCCTCTGACTCACACACTCTAAATATAGCTGCCTTAAAGTCACTTGGGGACTGTAGGGGGATTTAAAACGGCTGCTTATTTGGGCCTGGTATTATAATAACCATTTTCTTTAATTAAAAAAAAGTGAGTGGTTTGGTGAACTTGTGGACTTGAAGATGAGGATTTGATAAGCATTACCAGTATTTTAACATAAGAATGTCATGGAATTATTGTCAGATATTTCTTCACAGCATGAGTGGCTTCTCCTTCCCAGAAAGCACAACAGGCTTCTTGTCTCTATTTGCTGTCAGTCTTTTTGGTAAGTTCAAAGAAAGTCATTTTGAGCATATAATGTGTAAATGTTATTGATTTTAAATAATAATAAACTTGTAGGTTATGCTTGTACTTCAATCTTTGTATCTACCTATCTACAATCTTTTTGCAGCTTACTGCAAATACATTAACATGCATTACTTTATTATATTGCACAATTGTAATCACACAAAGTCCCGTTTGAATTCAAATATTATGATTTAATAATTATTTAAAATTTTGTTTCTGTGTCAAATGACACTTTTAATACAAAACATGTCAGTACTTAAAAAATATTATATATATATACATATTATTTGTTTTAATTCAAGATAAAAAATTTACATTTAATTCTTTTCTCTGATTACAAAAGCTGTTTTTCTTCTCTTCCATTAAATTATTGTACTTGCCCTGAGAATTCAGCATCTTTTTTAAATGAAGATATTTCTTTTATTTTGATGTTGTGTAAGTGGTAAAATGCTAATCTAGAAATGTGATAACTAGTCCTTAAAAGACAGAAATGTTGTCTCTTAGCAGTTAGAATGTCTGCTAACAGCAGACAATGCCTCTTTTAGTTGTTTGTGGCAAGTCTAACTATGTTTGAACTCAAATAAATTTGGAAAAAGTTGCATAAGTTTGTCTTAACAGCATTCCTAAAATTAAACTACATGTATTAGTTCATCTATATGCATTGATATACAAAGGTGGAAAATAAATACTTCCATTTACTCAAGATTCTGTAATTTTAAGTAGTTTTGGGAATAGGTCATTTTACTTTTACTTAATTACATTTTGACTCAAATATTTAACTTTGTATTTCTACATTGGTAAAGAACCTGTTACTAAGTAAAAAAAATGTGTGCATGTGTGGATTTCCCACTATTTTGATGTTGCTAGATAACATAAAACCTAAAGAGAGCCTTTAGCCCAGGCATGGGCAAACTAAGGCCCAGGGTTGGATCCGGCCCGTGCAGCTTTTTGATCCGGGCCTTTTTTTTAAATTTATATTATCATTATACTTCTGCCTTTTCCCTGCAATACCCAGGTTTCCCCAATAGTTGGTATAGAAAATGCCATCCATCCATCCATCTTCATGCGCTTATCCGTTACCGGGTCGCGGGGGCAGCAGTCTCCACGACTGCCACCCAAATCACACTGCACCGTACCAACCCCTGTGAACCTTCCTGCGGGTGGTGAGTCCACTGGAAGGTACCAACCGCCCTAACTGGGATTCGATCTTGCCCAGGAGGTGAATCCTGGGGTTCCACACCAATGACAGAGACGTTGCCTCTGGGCCGAAGCACCAGATATAGAAAATGATAAAAGCATTTTAGCCTTTATGCATGACTTTTACATGTAATTTATCTTAGTTCACGTGAACGCTCCATCCATCTGCTCCTGACCCGGCCCCCCCTGTTCAATTTTAGGACAATTGTGGCCCGCAAGTCAAAAACTTTACCCATGCCTGATCTAGCCTGTCGTTGGATGCCGAACAAAAATAAAGGTTAAGGATTGCCAATCAGAGAGCTCCCATCGAGCAGAGGACTCTGTTTGATGCTTTATTTTCAAATTTAAATGAGGCAATAACTTTATCATGCAATGCAAAAAAAATTTAACTTTAATCAAACTCTCAGAAGAAGCCTTTATGGGCCACTCCTGGAACTGCAACCTTACCATGGTGGAGGTTTGAGTATCCGAATGAACCTAGGAGCTATGTTGTCGGGGGATTAATGCCCCTGGTAGGGTCTCCCAAGGCAAATAGGTCCTAGACGACGGATCAGACTAAGAGCAGTTCAAACTACCCTTGATGAAGAAAAAACAAAGAAGCTCACGTCGCCCAGATTGGCGGTACCGGGGCCCCACCCTGGAGCTAGGCCCAGAGTTGGGG